GGAGAATCGGCACTTCTTCCGAGGCCCTGGGCGAGGGGGCCTCGGCGAGGCGGTCTTGGGCGAGTCGGAGAATCGTTCGCTTCCGCTGGGGCTCGGCGATGGGGTCTCGGGCGAATCGGAAATTTCGGTCGAGACCTCGTTTGTTTATTCCGTTGGTTCTGTTCTTAGGGTCTAAGCAGTTTTTTGATCTTTGCTTGGGGTACCCCATTTTCTGGTATCCGACACATACTGAGTAAGCAACTCATCGTCCGAGTACCAATCCTCTACCACAACCCTGTTGCTGTGGCTAGGGTCACCCGCATTGCCTTGATCTGCCTTTCGTCTATAGTAAGCGACCTCCGCTTCATCTACGTCCTGAGACAAGAACACGTTCTCTTCCTCCTCGTTCATGTGGCTAGGCTGACCTGCATTACTCTGACCTGTGTGTCGCCTATAGTAAGCGGCCTCCGCTTCATCTATGGTCTCTATGGCCAGAGTGAAGAATGCGTCGTCATCCTCCTCCGCCCGCAAGCCCACCTCTGCTAGAGCGATGAACTCGCTCAGTCTGCCAGTGTTGTCCTCAGCCTCCTTCGCCTGCAAGCTCGCCTCTGCTAGAGCGATGAGCTCGTTCAGTCTACCAGTGTCATCATCAACCTCCTCTACCTACAAGCCCACCTCCGCTAGAGCGATGAGCTCACTCAGTCTAGTAGTGTCGTCCTCATCCTCGTCCCCCTCATCAAACAACACAATCGGTGATTGAACGATGCGACCAGCTCGCGTTCTGTGCTCATCTAACTTCTTTTCCTCATATCTTGCACGAGCTACCTCTCCATCATGGTCCTCGCTGCATCCAATCCCTTCATGTATAAAATGCAATCAGTTAGCAACGCAATTATATTACATTTAAAATCAGGCAACGAAAAAAAGCTTTCAAGCACTCACTGGCACATAATGCAACAACATGCTCGTTCAAGACCTGCATCTGTACTCTTGTCTTCTCCTTTGCCTCCTTGCTTGCCCTCTCCTCCTCTAACACCCTTCGTCTCTCCAATCCCCATTTGTCAAGCCCAGCATCGATCGAGTTACGAATACCGCGCTATCTAGCAAACTCACGCATCTTATCTTTGTGATGTTTAACGAATAAATTGACATAGTCAGGTCCATATCCCCTCTTTTGTGCAATTACTTGCCTCCCATTCAGTTCATCCAAGAACTTAGCTTGACCATCATAACTTTCCCACCTGTATTTCCTAGTGCTCTGTTCAAACAAAAAACTATATCATATATGTCTTAGCAAAAGAAACAAAATATGATTTCATGTTTACCACAAAAATAACTAATCTCATCATAGTCAACCATATGGCCACAATAATGGCCTATTCTAAGCTCCGAAGGGACTAGGCCATAGTTGGATTTAACACCACATTCGCACATGACAGGAGGTGCTTTGTAAATTACTCTTTCTTTCTTCTTTTCCTTAACCTTTGACGGTTCTTCCGGCCATTGGTTCTTAGGACCATACAACCACTCCTTAAAACGACACTTCGCCATTGAAAACACCTAAATAAGGTGATATTAGTACATGAACACATATAGCTCAACATTTCAACACATACACTTTGCACTTACTTCATGCTTGTTTGTACACACAAACTCTAACGTATTCTCAGGGTTTATCACAGCTCAATCTCCACAATCGCACAGAGGAGGTTCCTCAAGTCGCCTAACTGCAAAGAAAGTGCTTCTCCTTAGCCGTCATTAGAGGGGGTTAGGGAGGTGGAACCTATCGTCAAGTGCTCTCGTGGATGTCGCCTCTCCACAAATCATTGAAAAGGATGTACCTGGGGTCAAACTTGTCTGCACCGTCGATCCACTAAAAGAAAAGGCACCTCTCATGGGCCTACACAACAAAAATCCAACAACATATTAGTGACCTAGTAATACAAATGAAGAAAAAAATATACGGAAATAATTACTTACATTAAAACGGTTGCATGTATAGAAGCAACGAGCCGCTGTGTCCGGATGTCTCGATTGAAACACGTCGGCCGATTTACTACAAATCCTGATTAGGGGACAGGGCCAGTCGGATGGATGGAGGCATCTTTGCTGGACTCGTCGGGGTACAATTCTCTAGGACGATCCCGTTTTAGCCACAACTGCCCTCGAAACATGTCTTCCATCTAATAAAACGGTTCAAATTAAACATTAATCAAAACAACCAAATTAATGTAAAATATAATTATTTGCATTGCAACTCAAATAATATAACCAACATTTATAGCAACAAAAATATACATGGTAAACATACTTCTAACTAAATAATTAACATTAACATTGACAAAATCAAACTAATATCTTTCTCCAAACCATAACCCATAGTTCCCAAACATAATTTTTCTCATAACCTTAACTCCCATTCATAATATTTCAATCCACCATTCAAACGAAAATAAAAAGTATGTCATTACCTTGAACGAGGCCGAGGAGGGAGGGAGGCGGCTAGGGAATGAAAGGGAAGAGAGAGAGGGAGATGACATCGGAGGGCTAGGCGCCGATAGTATTTGAGAGTGGCGGGAGGGTGCGGTGCGGAAGTCACCAACCGCGTTAAGGTAGATAGAGGGAAGGTGGCTCGCGGGCGATATTTACCTAGGACTGCCGCGCCATGAGGGATGGCGTGGCGGCGCCGCGCCAAGATCGGTGGCGCGGCAGACCCTGTAACGTCATTGGTCAGCGCCCCGGTCGTCGTCACGTCATCCCTCCCCGCCACCAGCACACCATGTATGGCGTGCACAGACGTTTCACCACGCCATGGCAATAGGCGCGCCCAAAGTGTTAGTTTTGGAAAAAAATAAAACAATGTTAGATTTAAAATTAGTTTACAAAAAGTGATAAAAATAAAAAAAATCTACCCTTATGCCCGTCGGACGATGAGATGTTCCCTTTCCAATTTAAGCGAAAGTAGTTCCCTACATGGCTCACCTTCGCGATGACCATTAACAAGTCGCAGGGGCAGACTATCCCTAACGTCGGGATATACTTGCCGGAACCAGTGTTCTCGCACGACCAATTGTATGTGGCGCTATCAAGAGCTAGGCAAGATCGAATATTAGGATCCTAGCCGTGCCGGCTACTGAGAAGGACGTGAATAAGGGAAAAGAGAAAGAGAATGAAAAGAAGAAAGCGGCAAAGGATATATTCACAAAGAATATCGTATATAAAGAGGTTCTAACTCTATAAAAGAGGTAATGCATAACACGTTGATACATATTTTTTAATATCAAATGGTACTTTAACTTTAAAAATTAACAAACAACTTATATGTAGGATATTTCTAACTACAGCTTCAGCTGCAAGAAGTTAGACGCCGCATCTTGGACTAGAAAATCTTCTAGATTATCATTAATTGGTGACCAACTGCAACTTGGTATTCGTGCAAAGCACGTTCTCTTAGTCGAACTATTGAGATATTAGATTCTTAATTGTAGAATAGATTATAAAACATGTATTGTGAAACATAAACTTGTTATGATTATCTTTCCGTAGCACTTGATTTCTAAAGAAGTGCAAGCTTATCTTTCGCGTATCGTAGGCATGAAGTGATGCGACAATTGAAGTTAATGTTTTAGTTTTGCATTCAAATTTAGAGTTATATTTTAACTATCTATCTTTCGTGAAGACTTTTGTAATATTGATTGGAACATTATGATCGCGATATCTATTTTAGATAATAGTATAACACACACTCATACATATGTTATCGTGGTATTATGTGTTCCTATTGCAACGCAGGGTATTTACCTAGTGTATGTAATATATTGACAAGTGTGTTAAAAAAATCTAATATTGACAAGTTCACCCTTTTTCTCCTTTTGTTTTGTTAAAAAAAAGTATCTTCAAAAGGTTCTTAAAACAACTCTTTATTTTTGATAAAAAAAAAGAAAAAAGAACTCCAATGGTTTCAAAAACAATTTCTTAAAGATAACCACATAGTAAATATCCACTCATGAAAGATGACCACTTGGTAAATACCCCAGGCATGGCAAGCAAGACCATTAAATTGGATTTGGATCGAATTTCGGGTCATGAACTGAATTTTTCCGGACTCGATGATTTAAGCCACCACAAGTTATTTAAATTGTTAGGCTTATCCTATTCACCTATCTAGATATTCAGCCTGTTTGGTAGACTGGACTTGCTCGTATACGATCGTAAATTTCCAGTCAGAACAATATTTTTTTCTCACACCAAACTAGGCAAACCAGACAACAGTAAATAATCCACGATCGTTTACTACCTTAATAATCTGCCGATTGTTGGTCTTTTCAATAGGTATTACTCCCTCGCCTAAATTAAAAGTTTGCTTTGATTTTTCTGGTTTATCAAAATTATTATGTATCCAGATATACATTATCATGTGAAATGTGTATTTATTTTGTTATACGAGCGATAAAAACGAAAATCAGAGAACAACGAAACGCTTGGCGGGTCACGTCCACACTCCACACTCCACACACCACTGGGGCAGCAGGGGTCGGACTCTGACTCACAAGTCCGTTCCACGCGGGCAACGCCGCCAAACCGCGCGCCGTGGCAAAATGATCCCGCGCTGCCAGTAGCCACGACCCCACGCGCCGCGAGCGGGAAACGCGAAATCCACTACCCTTGGTTGCCGCCTTCGTCCCATTTTCCTAGTCGACACAACACATCTCCCTCCGCCGCAGCAGCGTCATCACTCATCGGTTTTCACCAAAACGCGCCGCGCCGCGCCCGCCTCCGTTTCAAACCCGAAATTTTCCGGCGTCCCCAAAAAAAATTCCCTCGCCTTTGCCTCCGCCCAACCAACAAATCCCCTTCCATTTTGCTTGCCTGCTGCCTCGATTAGCCTCCCCCCAACCAAACCAACCTTCCTCTCCCCCGGAATCCCTGGAGGCAAGGACACCCCCCGCCCGCACCAACCGGCCGGCCACCTACTCCGTGGGCGCGAAACCCTAATCGGCGCCCGCCTCCCTCTCCATCCCATGGCGGAGCAGGACGGCGCCGCGGGGCAGAGCCCGCCCGACTCCGTTCCGGTAAGATTCGTTGCCTTTTGCTTGGGTTGGTTTGGACTCTCCGAGTTCCAGGTCCCGCTGGAGGCCGAGGCTTGCGAGGTACGCTTGGGCTTGGAGGCTTGGAGCCTCAGGGTTTACCGACTAAGGGTGTGATTTTTCCGGGGCCGATTGACTTGCAGTGTGATGCTTGCGCCAGGGCCTTGGCGTCTTAGTGCGTTCTCCGTGTGGGTTATTGCGTCGGTTTTAGCTCGGATCTCGTTAATTCGGGCCCTGCGGAGATTATGCGGGTGAATATCCCCAACCCGTTAATTCGGGATCGGCGCCGCAGCTGTTGCTAGTTGCAGGAGTGATCGCTACATAACACCTCTAATACAGAAAGGGGCAGTGATGCGGTTGTCGTTTTCTTTGTTCAAATCGTTTCAATTATTGTTAATGCAACAGCCAACCCAAGTCAAAACAAAATCAGAATGGTCATAGTTCTGATCTGCGTTCGTTCTGAACCATCTGCTTTGCACGATTTGCTGTGAACGGGGAGTGGGTACAGTAGAAAGTAATGGCTGTAAGTTTTGTACCATGATGAAAATATATTAACATCATCACTTCTGTTAGGGGGGTGGTGCTGAAAATGGGGATCAGAATACTAAGCAGCATCAACCATTTTTCTCGATGTGCCAGCCACTTCGCACTGTTGTAAGCCCAAAACTCATGCTTCTATCCAGAATTGGCAGTGTCAATTTGTTATTATGCTTAAGTTCATAACTTGTCTACATGTTTTCCCTGCTGCTGCTTACAGAGCTACTCGAATTCGTGGGATAGGTTTTGTGCTCCTGCTGCCAATGAAAATGACCACACTGTGAGCCTTTTATCTCAAGATTTATGTGATCTTTTGAAAATTTACAGCTTGTAATCATTTGGGTGTACCTGTTCTCTGATATAGAGTGGCTTGAACTCAACGGCGGATGAACAGAACCTAACCGCATCTGCCCCCGTTGGAAGCAAACAACCACAACCTGAGGTGTGCCCTTTCCCCCAGCCCTTATTTTAAAACCGAATGGCTCTAGTGAATTTGTTTGGGCTCTTCTGATAGTAATATTTGCTTACTGGTTCATGGATTTGTTGTTCAGGGCATATCTGGTACATTGGAAAGGGAAGATAATTCATGTTCACCACATCCAATCAATAAGGAAGTCAGTTTGGTGCAAGATGTCATGAAAATGGAACAATCAATGGTACAGAGCATTCAGCTTGCCAGTTTTTATCTGAAAAATCATCTCAGGAACTTCATGTATATACCTGTTCTGTTCTCTTATACTTTTATAAAAAATGAAAAGTGTGCACAATCCTGACACAGCCACTAGTACGAAGCGCAACTAACTAATTAAGGTTGCCTGTTAAGCTAAATTAAGGTTTTCTTTGAGAGACTAATAGTGGGAAAATGATGTGGAACTTTGCATGAATTTGAAACTTAAATGACTATGTACAATTCATGATACATGGAGCTGGTCTGCAATTATATTTCCATACATGACATTCCTATAGCCACCCATGTGCCTGAACCTTGACCTATGCCATTAGTTTCTCGTACTATTATTGTTTCTATACCATTTCCTTTCTTTCCTTTCTACCCACTTTGTTGATGGCTTTTGTTGTCTTTCATATCTAGATTGCCTCTGATTAGCTTGGGACAAAAAAAGGCATTATTGTTGTATATAACATTAATACAGAGTTCTGTGCCTAGAAGATCCCTAGTTCTTGTCCTTTTAGGTTTTAACTTTTAACTTATTCCTATATTGTAGGATGGAATTGATGTGCCACATGGAGGAACAAGTGAGCAGCCAGAGCCCCTTGGCACAGAGCAGCCCGATTCATTTGTAAGCGCCCCCACCACAGGCCTATGACATTTACTGCTAGCTTAGGCCTCTGAAAAGTCCCTTAACATTATTTCTGGGTGCTTCCGTAGGATGAAATCGACTTATGGGGTGTCCAAGATAATCAGCAAGTGTTACCCCTTAACAGCAAGCAATGCAACTCTAATGTAAGCCTTTTATTGTCTTAATCACATTTTATGTTCGATCCTTCCTTACATCAAGTCATTTGTATTGCTGGTCTTTGTTCAATAGATTGGTGAAACTTGTGATGCTGAAGATATGCATTTTCCTTTGTCCGTATCTTATAGAAGGCAACCTAAATCTGTGGTATGTAATATCTTCTGTGCTAAGTTCTATACTTTATAGACATCCTTAAGGACTTATCACAATTTTATCGTGTTACAAAATTTTCCCATGTGCAGGGAGCTGGTCTTAGCAATATGGGGAACACATGCTTCCTAAATGCAACTCTCCAGTGTATCACTCACACTGTACCACTTTTTCTCAAGCTTCGCTCTACTGATCATTTCACTCCATGCTCATGTATGGATAATTTCATACAACTAATTATTGTTCGAAATATGTTTTTTTTATACATTCTGTTTTATCTTAGTCTGGATGATCTGAACTGCTGTTAACCTGCAGATAATAAGGATGGGTTCTGTTCTTTCTGTGCCCTTAAAGAACATGTTGATGAATCAATTCGAAGGTCTGGATCTGTTATAGCTCCAACAAAGTTCAGAGATAGTTTAAGAAGTATCCTTTCCTCCTGATCTTTTGCTGAGTCCGTTTAATTTTCCCCATTATAACTGCTGTTTGCAGATATGTTTTTTTTCATGTTAATTCACGTCCTTCCACTTCCTTTCAGCATTTAGTTCACCTTACTCTTCACTTAAGTATTGCGGTACTGCATCCTTTCAATTGTTGCCAGCTTGCTATAGTCCTTCCATGTGAAGTTATGTGATATGAGATTTCTTAACAATATTTTCTAGAGTTATCTTCGGAATTTAGACCAGGACAGCAAGAAGATGCACATGAATTCCTACGTTGCTTGCTCGATAACTTGCATAAGTGTACTCTTGATCCCAAGTCAAAGGGCAAGAGCTCATCCTTTGACGAAGAAAGTATAGTCAAGGAGATTTTTGGAGGACAACTGAAAAGCCATGTAATATTTAGTTTCTCCATCACCTATATGTTCTCTTGGTACTAGCATCGCAGCTAATGCTACTCTTTATATCTATAGTTATGTTGCTGCGAGTGTGGTCACAGCTCAGAGACATTTGAGCCCATCCTGGATCTAAGCTTGGAGATTGATCAGGTCGATCACCTGGTAGACGCTTTGCAATCTTTTACCAAGGTAGAGCAGATTGGGGACTCTGAAAACAAGCTCACCTGTGAAAGTTGCAATGCTCAAGTTTGTAAGAACAAGCAGCTTACACTTCATAGAGCACCGGATGTTGTTGCATTTCATCTCAAGCGTTTTACAACCCTTGACAATTCTGTTGAGAAGATTGACAAACATGTGGTGTACCCTCTGGAGGTTGATTTGAAGCCATTCCACAGCAGCCCAGACACTGCGGTGAGTTTTTGCTATAGTAAGTTACTTAACGCCTGCTTGGAAGACATGCTGCTATAGGAGTATCTAGACTAAGGATTTGGATTCCAGTCCCTCTACACAAACAGAATTATTTCCACTTAGGTAGATTTTAATGTTCTATTATACCTCCACATGCAGGGGGAGCTGAAATATGATCTTTATGGTGTTGTTGAGCATTCTGGATTACCCAACTATGGCCATTATGTCTGCACCATTCGTTCTTCACCAAGCACATGGTACTTAATGAATGACTCCAATGTATGTGCCACCAGTCCGTTGCTAATGCATTTGACGATATGAACCTTTTCACCATTGTAATAGGCAAGTCATTTTGCAGGTTGATTCTATTACTGGTTCAAGTGCATTAAACCAGGAAGCATATATTCTGTTCTATGTTAGGCAGGGCAAATTTCCATGGTTCTCGAGTTTGCTAGATGGCAAGGATGCCCTACAAGCTGAGAATACCTGTGGCACATCTCCTGTGTCAGTTTTGGAAAATATAGATGCAAACTGTTCAACTTCTGGAGGAGGCAGTAGCAGTAGTTTTGATGATAAGTTAGAGAAAAATGAAACCAGCCAATTAGAGGAGATAGAGAACGATGAAACGAGTCGGTGCAAAACATCATTCCTTCCTGAGAAGCCATCTAAGAGAAGTTCACTTGGTGCTTCCAACAGCAATGAAACAATAGATGAAAATAATCCATCCAGGGCTTCTCTCCAAAATGATGCGCCTAGATGTCTCCGCAGTCTAGAAACTACCAATCTGGATAAGCCCTCTACTCCACGGTGCTCCAAACGACTGTCACTGTCCTCTGATAATGAGTCTAGAGTGTTTGAGTTTGAGGACTTTGGTAAGTATGCATTTTCAACTATAGTTACGAGCTTCTGGTTTTATTTTCGTAATGCATCTATCTTATTTTCCTTGATAGAACTTCCCACCCAATTTTTTTAATATGAATTCCCACTCAATTTATCGTGCAGTTGACAACACTACTACTTTATGATTGATTACTGGCCTAATCCTTGTGATTCTAATCACCTCACCCTTTCAGATCTAAACATCAGACTTGCATTGTTGTGCTAATTATCTTGGATCTATTTAATTGTTTCTCAACGCAGTTGAATGTTACATGTTGTAAAACACTGTTCATCCACTTTTTAAGGGCTCATGTTTCTCCTTGTCTCATTTATAGATGAGGAAGAGGAGACTTTACTTCCAAACTTGAAATTTCAACCGAAGGCGAAGAAAGCTAAGGCTGCATCTGCATCTAAAGCTGTGAAGGATCCTTGCATTGATCAGAATGCATTACATTTGATGAGGGGCATGACATCCACACGAAGAAAAGGTTTAATGGACTGCATAACACAGCAAAATGCAAAGCACGAGTCTCGCAGATGCCCTGCAAGTGACCCTCTGGACAAGAAGAAAAGAAAGCTGGTTCTTCAGTACTAGGTATTACTAAGTTGGGTGCCGAAATCTTGTATTGCTGTATATCCTTTCTTTTCTTTTGCTACTTCTCTGTATATCTTGGTTCAGCGTCCCTGCGGTCGTCAGCTGTCCCCTAATCTAATTTTGCTGTCATAGACTTTATGGCTGGCTAGATTGGTTGCAGCCTTGCAGGGTATATGAGAGTTTCAGAGTCAGTTAATCTATCTTTTATTATTTCTGTCTCCTGATGTTTTATTACACACCTATGTGGCTATTTATGGGATTGGCACCTGTAACAACTGCCCATTTTATTTAGTACTCAATCCATCCCAAATTGTAAGACGTTTGATTTTTTTGACACCAAGTTTGATCACTTGTCTTATTTAAAAATTTGTGTAAAATATCACTTCTTTCGTCGTGGTTTGATTTATTAATAAAAATTCTTCAAGAATGACTTAAATTTGACTATATTTACACAATTTTTTTGAATAAGACGAGTGGTTAAATTTGGGACAAAAAAGTCAAATGTCTTACAATTTGGGATTGAGGGAGTAGGTAGCACTACTAGGTCAGGACAGGGCTTATCCTGTTTCATAGCTAGTGAAAATAAATTCAATCGAGTTTTCTCTGGACTGAGTCTTCAGTCCTGTAACAAAACAACCAATTTTGTTATATGGATTTTTTCAGGAAAAACACAGTATTTAGGAAATATTCCTGCATTCCAAACGGGGCAACAGCTCATCTGCTGTCTTCACTGTGTTTCCATGTGGTCTACAGCCTGATACCGCTCGTCTAGAGGTCTCGCTCGATAAGGCATGGTATGTCAATTGGCAGCCTGAGTTGACAATGGGCGTGTTTGTGGCCCTGTTTAGGCCCCGTTTAGTTCACCAAAAACCAAAATTTTTTGCGTAGCAAGTGTCATATCGATCTTGCGGCACATGTATGGAGTACTAAATATAGACGAAAAAAAAAACTAATTACACAGTTGGGTGAGAAATCGTGAGACGAAACTTTCGAACATAATTAGTCTATAATTAAACACTAATTATTAAATACAAACGAAAATGCTACAATACCCAAAAATTTTCGGATCTAAACGCGCCCTTAGATCCCACTCAAAATCCAAAATTTTTCAAAATTCCATGTCACATCAAATCTTGCGGCACATGCATGGAGCATTAAATATAGGTAAAAAGAATAACTAATTGCACAGTTCAGACGAAATCCACAAGACGAATCTTTTAAGCCTAATTAAATTATGATTAGACACTAATTATCAAATAACAACGAAAGTGCTATAATAACCAAAAGCCAAAAAATTTTGCATCTAAACGGGGCCTGTGTCAGCTTTTCCGGCGGTGGCGGCCAAAACAAGCGCATAATCGTGCCAAACGCTCCGCGTCGGCTGCGATTGTTTTCGCTGCACCTGGCAAGTGCACCGCAAAAATGAACTGCGGCCACGTTTTCCGTGCCGCGGTGGGACGGCCTCGTTTCCCATGCCACACCGCGCGGTCTGTCGACTCTATCCCAAACACGCCCAATGGCATAGCAGAACCGCGTGATGGCGTTTGGAGAGAAGTCTCCGTGGAGAAAAAAAAACAAAGAGGAATCTGTCATTTGGCTCCGGAAGAAGAGCTTCAGCCTCTTCCAAGATCACTTCCTGGTGGCACTTGCCACGACTGGGGTCCTGGTGACTGGTGAGGCTGACGCCCTACGGCAAGTGGGCAAGTTGATGGTGCTGCCCAGCCGCGTGGAGTGCCGAGTGCCTGAGCCAGTGAGCCAGCACACGGCGAAGCAGGGAGTTTTTTCAGGTAGGAGTGCCGGAGCCCGGAGGATGCATCGCGTGCTCACTGCTCAGTCCCCTGATAAGCGCCACCACGGGACGAGGCTCATGGTACTGCGCCAGCGAAGACCTGCAGAGCAACACAGGTTATTAATGAAGGATCTTAACAAAGAAGCCCAAGCGGTGCTGATATGCTCGGTTACATGAATGGATGAAAGCATAGATTTTTTTTTATTTGCCAGTCCTGTGAGGTATTGGACATCTCCTGCAGTCCTGTTTTGTCGAAAAAAATGATAGATGCACGTTGATCGCTTCAACGTTTGAAGATGCTGTTTAAGTCTGGCAAATGGATTGACTCGTTGAAGATCGGCTTCATGCTTCAAAGTTCAAAGAGACGATGTAGGTGGGGCCTGATTGTTCTCTTTCTTGGTTGGTTTCTAAGCTGATAAACCTAACTGGTGCTGGTTTATTGTGAAAAGAAAATATTATTAGCTGGCTGATAAACCCTAATTAAAACCAATAAACGAACAAGCTGATGGACTCCGGAACTCCCATCCAACATGAGCGTTGAGGAAGCCCTAAACAGCCCTTTCCTACGTCCTCACGAGCCGGGCTAACCCATCTAAGCAACCAAACGGCCCCGTCTGTTTGGTCATGTCTGGTAGCTTTTGGGTTGGTTTTGCTAAAAAAGTGTCGCTTACTGTTGTAGGGAGGGTTGTACTGTACCGCGCGCCTTTGTGGCAGCTTTAGCCTTGGCGAAAACTTTTTTCAAAAAGTGATATAGTATCCATCACATCGAATCTTGCGATACGTGTATGAAGCATTAAATATAGACGAAAAAAATTAATTACACAGTTTGATTGAAAATTACGAAACGAACGTTTTGAAACTAATTAGTCCATGATTGAATACTAATTATCAAATAAAAAAAATACTACAGTTGCCAAATTTTCAACTTTCACCCAACAAAACACGGGCTTACCACTCGAATGCTCTGAAATGGTTTTCCACGTCTCGATGTTTAATAGTCTGTCATACTAGTTTTTTGGAAATAGGGGTTGACCAGGGACCGAAGGGGTGGTGGCGCAGTTGGCTAGCGTGTAGGTCTCATAGCTAATATGAGTTATCCTGAGGCCTTGCTTAGATCACCTCCAAATTTCAAGTTTTTTTACTCTCTCTATCACATTAATTTTTGACACATACATGGAATATTAAATGTAGGTAAAAAAATAACTAATTACACAGTTTGATTGTAAATCACGAGATGGATATTTTGAGCCTAGTTAGTCCATAATCGGACAAAGTTTATCAAATACAAACGAAACGTGCTACAGTATTTAGGTTGTAAAAATTTACAATCTAAACAAGCCCTGAGTTCGATCTTCTCTCCACCCCCATGTTTCTTTTTTTTTTCTCTCTCCCTCTTACAACGATTTCACGTCTTCTAGGAGTATGCTCCACGGACCACGGGCACCCAGAAAACCACGCTGCACGCTCTCTTCCTGCGTCAGCATCACTGCTACGTCCCATCCCAACGCCTACACACACGTTACTCCCACAGCCAGCCTAGAGCTAGCGCAACGCTACCAACGGAGCAGGGGCGGAGGCGGAGCTAGAGAAATTCGTGCATAGCCTAGAGCTAGCGCAACACTACCAACCGAGACTGCCGGACTCCTCAGCAGGCAGCAGCAGCACGCACCGGCCTGTAGCTTCGAGGGATACATCCCGTTACGCTCGTTGGTTTCGGTCAAAATTTATCAGCCAGCAACCGTGTTTTTCTCTTACAGTACACCAGCATCGGCCGGACTTATCACCGCACCAAAATCAACCAGCGACATAGCCACGAGGAGCATGGGATGCTGGACTCCTCAGCAGTCAGAGTCAGCACGCACCAGATTACACGCATCATGTCGTGACAGTCGTGGGGACGGTCGCTGGCCAGCCGGTGAGGCAGTGACTATTTGGGCCCAAACGAAGGAGGCGATTGTCCTGACCCCGACACATACCACGGCACCGTTGCAGGAAGCAGTGTTCTGATTGGGCTCTAGGCTCCTAGCCTCTGTAGTCCATACGACCATAGGCGGGGTGATCACCGGTCGATGTGGGCACTGCCCGGTGCCGGTGGGAGAAGAGAAGATCGCGCTGTTCGATCGGTCAATGGCATCAATCGTGTCGTGTCCGGGCTGTAGCAACTAGCAGCAGCAAATAATCCTCCTCATGGCCCCTGGCCGTGGCTTTCCATGCCAACTAAGATCCAGTTCATTTTCCGGGAGAAAAACAAAGAAAGATCCTGCTGAGGACAAGGTAGTGTTTTTTTTTTTTTTGGTAAAAAAGGTTGCGGCGGACGGATGTCCGTTCGTGGCGTGGATCATGTTGATCCGCCTCTGTAATCAGCGTTCTTGGGTCTATGATGAGGAGTAGGTTTGTATTACGCGCGTGTATTTTTTGTCAAGACACTTGGTTTCTCCGCTTGCTTTATTTGTTTGTTGTAGAGCTGATTGATGGGGGCACGTTTTGTTTGTAGCATACTGTATTTTTCAGAGGCAAAGATGAAAGCAAGTGTCGTCTCTTCTCGCCGCTTGCTTTTTCTTTAGTGTGCTGCCATCTTTTTCTTATTTTCCCCTCCCCCCCGCGCGTCGGTGAAAGGAATTTGCGCGTACAGTGACGTCTCATCTACGCCGGCGCATCGATAAAAGCGACGACGAAAGGAGCCGATTAGCTCAGCGACCATCTACGATAGTGAAATGGCAGTTGGGCTTCAACTGCGTCAGGGGATTTTTTTAAAGAAATTCATCCTGTTCACTTAAATTTATAGCCATGATACAATGTTTTTCTTTCACGGTAAAACAACATCAACCAACTTATCAGGCGCAAAAATCATCCGTCAAAATAAAATTACTGTTATAAAAATGAATATTTTGTTAACTACCTCCTTCTAAATTAGGCTTTTTAGTATATATGACCTATTTGGTTGAAAGCTCATTCTTGCCAAGCCAATTTTAAAAGAAACAAAAATATGAGTATTTTGATATTAGGACAAGTCAATATTTTGGTAAGGCAATGAATGTTGGTATTTGGTTTGTTACTAACAAGAGAGAAGAATGTTGCCTTGCCAAATTTTAGAAAGTCTTGCCAAAATTTTGGCACCAAACCAATTACGTGTCAAATCTTTTGAACTTGTTCATATTTTAGCTCAAAGATTAGCTTGCAACTAAGCAGGCCTATAGCTTTTATGATACACCTAGATATATGTTATAGTAAAAACTACATATCTAGAAAAATAAAAACAAAGTAAATGGCATCACACGAACTGATCATAAATGAGTTGGTTATGTTTCTTGTGGTGGAACCGGTCAACCCGGGTTTAACTTCTCGACTTGGCACGGATGTTCGTATTTTTTCTGGATTTATTTCAGGATTTAAAGGCGCTATGCTTTCAGTGGTAGGCGACGTCAGCGAGGCGCCAGTGGTGACTTCGTGAATCTCGAGATCTGTCGGCTCAGTCTTTCGGATGTGCTAATAGGGGTAGGGTTTGCGTACGTGTGTTCATAGGGGTGAGTGTGCGTGCATGTTGTGGGTGCTTACGTTGTACTGTGTAATTATAAAAAAAAGTAAATGGCATCGTAGCCCATAAAAAAAATGCTTGGAGAATTTTAAATAAGCATTTTAATACCTTTTTATCTGGTGGGATAAGGCAGTATCAGCTCTCAACCTTTGAAAATAATCATAAAAATCATGATATATCTTAACCTAGAGTATGTTAGCAGCTATGATTCCATGAAAATTTGTACATATAAGGACAACTTACACGGTGGAAAAAGAAAAAAATACAGAGCTTTTTTCCACCTGTAAATAGTTAAGGTGAGTAAAGCTAGTCAAGATTTTGTTTAGAAGGTCAACTAAGCAATGTTACAGTATTTATTTGTGGTAAAATGAACCTTTTCAGGTTGAAAAGACTGAAAGAGAGTATCCCTTCCTAATGCTTCAAGAAATACTGTTCCTTTCTTATGTAGTGATAGTCAGCCTGTTCGGTTGGCTGGTTCGTGAAGAAGTACTGCTGGCTGGTTTGCGTGAGAGAAAAATACTATTCCGACTGAAAATTTACGATCGTTTACGACAAGCCACAGCCAAACGAACAGGCTGAGAGTCGTCAGAAAAAGGCTTTTTTTACCTATAGAAATGGCGGGACATGTTTCAGTATCAAGCTTTCTTTGCTGCTACAGAACAAATTTTTTTACCTAAACAAGAAGCCAATTTGAAATCATTTTGACATTTTCTGATCTTCTTCGGGAGATATTACGACAGAAAAACATGAATCATGTCTAGTCAAATCAGTGCAGAATTTATCATCTTTTTTTTCCCAAATAGAACACACATGAAAAAACAAGGCAGAATTGATTATTCTGACCTACATATACACAGTAAAAAAATATGAATAGCTGTCGGTACTGAGTACGTAGCCAATACAATACCATTCAGGCATTCAAAAGATACACAAGCCTTTTCTTCTACTCATTATATAATCGATGAGTACCGTCCTATCCTATCATATAAAAAGAACCCATAATGGAGCAGCAGTATGCTCTTGAGAGAATTCCCTGGTTGCCATCAAAACTTATAACGATTCCTTAGTTGCCATTAAAAATTATAGCATTCCTTAACTGCCATCGATTTGTAGTTTTTGATTCCTTCGTTGCCATTACCGTTACGTATGTGAGTTTTGTTCCCTTAACTGCCATCTATTTAGATAATTTCCTCCTTAATTGCCACTGAGCGGACGGAATCAGGGAACGGCGTGAGCCGTGTTCGACGCTCGACGTAGTCCGCTGCTACCACGCTCTTGTCCATCCTCTGTGCCGTCCCATCTCCCGTGCGAGCGCTTAGGTGCGCCTGTGACAAGTGCCAGGGAAAGGGAGGGATCCGTCTCTATTACAACAGCGCCATCTTGGGCGCCGTCAGCCTGGTGTCGGCGTGTCGCAGAGCCTCTCACCGTCTGGCACCGCGTCACCTCCTCCACCGGCAGCGAGTCAAGCAGCCCTCCGCTCTGGGGAGCTCCTGGAACCACGCCTGCAAGTACGCGTATGTACATCAGCATTCAGCACATCAGATGCAACAATGCAACGGTTGTACGTACGTGCACACGGTCTACATACCTTGATGAGGCCTGCAAGCCGCAAGGCAGTGCTCGTCGATGCCGTGCACTGGTATGTGCTCTGTAGGCTGCAGTAGAGCAGCAGTATACCGCCCTGCCAGCCTGCTTGCCTCCCGCAGCGGAGCAGCCCCGCGCGCGATGTGCGCTGCCGTGCTGGCCGCCTGCCGTCGCGGAGCCGCGATGTCGCGCTCGCGCGAGTGGAACGTCACTTGCGCCACATGCCACACGTCCGTTGGCCACCCGATCTCCATTATCTCGCCGCCGTCGTCACCACGCGGACAAGAGCGCGGCGGCAGCGGACGACGTCGAGCGTGGAACGCGGTTCCGTCCGCTCAGTGGCAATTAAGGAGGCAAATTATCTAAATAGATGGCAGTTAAGGGAACAAAACTCACATACGTAACGGTAATGGCAACGAAGGAATCAAAAACTACAAATCGATGGCAGTTAAGGAATGCTATAATTTTTAATGGCAACTAAGGAATCGTTATAAGTTTTGATGGCAACCAGGGAATTCTCTCTATGCTCTTTCGTAGGGGCATTATTTTTCTCTGATGCTGTTCCAGTAGTCTTCTCTGCTAGTGCGTGCACGATGGCCACACATTCTACTATTTTTCCCTGTCGGCGCAATAGTCCCCCCTAGAGTTATTAACTGGGTTCCAGGACGGCATTGACTCGCATGTCGTTACTGTTCTCTTGACCACTTGGGTTTCTGGTGATCTGGTCTCCTGGACAGCATCGCTGCGTGGTGCGTGCGGTACCGTGCCCTCTCAGCCCCTCACCACGACACGATACGGCCTAGTACGCTTTTACCCCCGGATTCCGATGCCAGATCACCGTGCACGTTCTTCAGTTTCTTGCACCTTGCTCCTCGTCCTCTCGAGCAAGTTGCAACCAGTTTAATGCACTTCCAGGATCTCAAATCCATTTACTAATGTACACACTAATCAGCAATTAGCCAGGAATTCCGGCTTGTGTGGTGTGCACAGCTGGGTTCCCCGGAGACAGAGATGGACGGCGCCGGCGCATGTTATGGACGGAGCACGTCGCCCAGATGAAAACGACATTGTTTACGACATTGTATAAGGACAGTCCAAACCATAAAATTATAGAATAATTTTCACATTTAGTATTTAATATAGATATTATCTATAGATAATATAATTTTAAATAGTTTCTATAAATAAAACTATTCTCTAATCATCTATCACCTATCTTATATCATCTATCTATCACAACGCTTTCCATTTTTATTCTCGTATAGACGTAGTTTCTGATATAAAAAAACATCTCCTTATCTCAATCTTCAATCAAATCCAGCACCTGCTATGATTTGCCGTGGAAGCTTCTTCTCGTATAAGGCCTCGTTTAGAAAAATGCATGCATAATTGATACAGACTGGATCTTCTTTCCTGTTGTTGTTCGAAACTCCTCTGAATTCATGGTGCAGCTGGACCTAAAAACATGTTACCAGAGAGACGCTGGGAAGTGGCAAAATGTTGGAGGGTTTTCTTGTGAAAAAATCACCTGGAACCTGGCCCTTTTGGCCCTTTTCACTCGCCGCTGCTCTGTTCACAAGAGACACCGGCGTACAACTCTGTAAAAGCGAGCACGCCAGAACTGGAGGAGAAAGAAAGAGTGGAAAAGAAGCAAGGCAAGCAGGTGACGTCTTTTTCCACGGTCACCCTCTGTCTGCTTGCTCGGCCAGGCCACCGGTGGAGGGGGCAACAGCTGCAGGCTCAAGCAAAGCGTGCTGTCTGAATTTTTAACCCTGGCACTGGCACACAAACAATGCGTGATCTTATTCCTTCTCTCTCTGCTAAAGCACTATTACCACTATTATTAATTTAGAGCTTTTAAACGGGCTCCAAGCCCTGCCTTTCTCTTGGCTTTATACGCTTCACCTCTCAATCACTGTTTTTCTCCTCTCTTTCTCTCTCCAGCCTAATGATGTGAGATCCGTATACGAATCACACATATACAATGAGCTGAGCTGTTCATGACGCAAATGCTGGTGATCAGATTCTATTTCTCCCCTCCCCCCTAGCCACCACCACGGCTGCCCTGTGCTCTGCTGACCTGCTGTTGCTCACAGCGAAGCGACCAACACCGACACACCCATTGCTTCTTCCCTCCCAATCCCTACCCTGTGCTGAGGCCACCCACCGTCCCGGTTCGGAGCTGCAGAGACCGCCTGCGACAGCCGTAGCAATGCTGGGAAGACCGAAGTAAGCATCGATCTCTCTAGTTCTGCGCGACAATTCTTTTTTTTTAGGCTGCAGATCCTGGTAGGTCGCGTGTGTGCGGTTCTTGATCTGAGCAAAAAAATTGGTTCTTGGAACGCAGATCTGCGGCGGCAGAGAGCAAGAGCGGCAAGACCACGCCGCCGACGCCCAAGGGCGGCAGCAGGCCGAGCAAGCCGGGGGCCGCCAAGCCGGCCAATGGCACTCCGCCGCAGGCGCCGCGCGCCGCCGACAGGTCCCCTGGTTCGGCGGACAAGCCGCCGTCAGGCGACCGCCGCACACCCAAGGTCTTCGCCCGCCTCAGCACGCCGCCTGCAGAGGTACGAGTCTCTTTTGATTCGTCATCAGTGTCGCTTGATCTTGCTTGGTGCCGTTTGGGTTGTTGGGATGTAACTGATCCCGTTGGAATGGCTGCAGAAGCAAAGCAGCGCCGTGAAGCAGTCTCACGAACTGCAGGCGCAGCTCGCCGCGGTTCAGGAGGAGCTGAAGAGGGCAAAGGAGCAGCTGGCGGAGAAGGAGAACGAGAAGGTCCAGGCACTTGAGGAGCTGGAGGATGCCAAGCGGCTGGCCGACGAGGCCAATGCGAACCTGCTGGTCAGCGCTCGCAGCGCGGAAGAAGGCGGAGGAGGCCTCCGAGACCGAGATGTTCCGCGCGGTCCAGCTGGAGCAGACGAGCATGGAGTCCATGCAGAGGAAGGAGGAGGAGCTGCAGAGGAAGCTGGAGAGCATGCGGAGCCAGCAGGAGTCAGATGCTGCGCGCGCTGCGGTCCACAGTGGAGCAGCTCGAGAAGGCTAGGTATGAGCTCGCTGATGCGATCGATGCCAAGAACTTGGCCCTTAATCAGGTGGATGATGCTATCCGGCTCAATGAAGTGAATGCTCATAAGGTGGAGGTCCTCAACACAGAGGTTGCTCGCCTGAAAGAATTGCTTGACACTGAGCTGGAGAGCAAAGAGAGGGAAGGCGCTGAGCAAATCATGAGGCTTGGGGCAGAGGTCTCTACACTGAAGATTGAGCTCCAGAAGGCAAAGGATGCTGAAGAGAAGGTAGCTGAATTGGGGGATGTGATTGAAGCGCTGAGAGTTGATGCTGCCAATGCTATGAAGGCCAGAGCAGAGGCAGAGGGGCTAGCTGATGAATGGAAGCAAAAGGCTGAAATTCTGGAAATTAAATTGGAGGCAGCCAACCAGTCTTACATGTTGAAGGTTGATTCCTTGAACTCGGTGATGAAAGAATTGGATGCAGCAAGCACCTTGCTTTCGGAGAAAGAGTCTGAACTTTCTGACCTTCAGAACAAGTTGCAGGCTTTGGACGAAGAGGTAGCTAGGCAGAATGAAGATATTATTGCGCCTAATGAGCGTCTTGATGTTGCTGAGAAAGAAGCATTTGAACTGAGGGAGAGATCAATGAGCTTCAGTCAAAGCTCCAAGCACTGGAAGAAGAGAAGATGGATGCTATTAACAATGAGAATAATGCAAGTTCACAAATTGAATCAATATGTGAAGAGAAGGAGAGGCTGGCTAAGGAACTAGAAACTAGCAAAGGTGAGTATGAGAAAGTTAAGAAGGCTATGGAAGATCTAGCCTCAGCATTGCATGAAATGTCTGGTGAGGCAAGAGAGGCACGGGAGAGGTACCTGAACAAACAAGAAGAGATTGAGCGTGCCAAGGCACAAATAGAGGAGCTCAACATGAATCTCAAGAACACCCAGGAGAACTATGAAGTGATGCTTGATGAAGCAAACTACGAGAGAGTCTGCTTGAAGAAGACGGTGGAGCGAATGGAGGCAGAAGCGAAGAATACATCTGAGGAGTGGCAATCCAAAGAGGTCAGCTTTGTGAGCTCCATCAAAAAGTCAGAAGAAGAAATTGGTACAATGAGAGTTGAGATGGATAAGGCGGTAGAGAAGGTGCAAGAATGCGAAAATAGAAATGCTTTGCTGGAGGAGAAGCTGAAGGAGCTGGAAGCTCAGGTAGAGGAAGCGAACAGAGCCAAGGATGAAGCCAAAGCTGAAGCTTTGAGCTGGAAAGAAAAGCTGCTAGACAAAGAGAATGAATTGCAGAACATAAAACAGGAGAATGATGACCTACAGGTCAAAGAGTCGAATGCTTCAGAGAAGCTGAAGGAGCTATCTTCCATGCTTGGCAATGGTAAAGTGCTAAATGGAACAGGTCCAAAAGATGAGAATGACAAGGGAAATACGAAGGATGATGATCCTGTAGTGATCGCTACAAAGATGTGGGAGAACAGCAAGGTCACTGACTATGATCTATCTACAGAGAAGGAGAAAGACGGTGAATCAGAATTTGATCTGGAGTCCAACAAGGGAGACGCTGCCTCAGACGGCCACAGGTTGTCCATAGACAACAGGGTGAACAACAACACGAAGCTGGCAATCAAGCAGCAGCAACCGAAGAAGCCTTTGATGAAGAAATTTGGTGGTTTGTTGAAGAAGAAAAGCCAACATTAGAACAAATTGGGCCATCTCAAAGAAAAACAAAATATCGTTGTATGCCATGGATGACTATTTCTCTAGCTTCAGCTTCACTTTGATTCAGCAGAACTGCAGGGTTCACCGTAAAGATAATAGTATAAGAAGTTTCAGAAGAGAACAGAAGGGTGATGTATTTGCTTCCCTTTTTCTGTTTAATTTCTTATATTGTGCATGTTTTGAGGAGCATTGATGCTCTAGTCCATGTATTTCTTCGGCTGTTGGGGTAATGTTAATGTAAAGGGACGTGGGATTTCGATTCATTTGTTCCCGTATATACTTCACAGCATTTGTGAGTGTAAAATATCTGTAGCAGAACCAAGATGGAGCTTCACTTCCTCTGTCTTAATGACTTGAATTGAGTCCAGTGTGAAGGTCAGTACAGCCTGAATGGGGACAGTGGATGTCAATGTACTTGAGCTATTTATTGTGTCCGCGTATCTCTATTCTCTCCGACCTCCTGAATGGAAGGTCAGTACAGCTTGCCGTCCGGCGGCAATCCGGCATCACTGCATATGCATAAATAAATGAAAGTCCTGCGCCTCACATGTATGCATGCACACGGCAATGAAACTCATAAGCCGTTAGGTTGTCTGGAGTCAAGCCAATGGGGTTTCTTGGCAGCAAGTTTTATGTCCTGAACCGTATTGCTGGTTGCCTGGCTTATGAACTCCAGTCGGTCTGTGCTGCGCATCGAAGAACTCTGAATATCACCATCCCCAACTAGATGACACATCGCAGGGGACGGACCAGCATGGCTGAGAGTGTGGAAGACATGTGCCGGCGGGGTCTATTTTCAGTGGAAACACGTGGATCTATGACAGCTGTGCACGGAATCAAGAAGCAGTTGTTGTAGGGTTCAAAGCAAAGGGCTCACGCGTGGCATGTCTCAAGATTTATGGGATCTTTTGAAAATTTGTAGCTTGTAATCATTTGGGTATGCCTGTTCTCTGATATAGAGTGGTTTGAACTCAATTGCGGGTGAACAGACCCTAGCTGCATCTGCTCCCCTTGGAAGTGAGCAACCTCAACCTGAGGTGTGTCCTTTCCCCCAGCCCTTATTTTAAAACCGAATGGCTCTAGTGAATTTGTTTGGGCTCTTCTGATAGTAATATTTGCTTACTGGTTCATGGATTTGTTGTTCAGGGCATATCTGGTACATTGGAAAGGGAAGATAATTCATGTTCACCACATTCAATCAATAAGGAAGTCAGTTTGGTGCAAGATGTCATGAAAATGGAACAATCAATGGTACAGAGCATTCAGCTTGCCAGTTTTTATCTGAAAAATCATCTCAGGAACTTCATGTATATACCTGTTCTGTTCTCTTATACTTTTATAAAAAATGAAAAGTGTGCACAATCCTGACACAGCCACTAGTACGAAGCACAACTAACTAATTAAGGCTGCCTGTTAAGCTAAATTTGAAACTTAAATGACTGCACAATTCATGATACATGCAGCTGATCTGCAATTATAATTCCATACATGACATTCCTATAGCAATCCATGTGCCTGAACCTTGACCTATGACATTAGTTTCCTGTACTATTATTATTTCTACCTATACCATTTTCTTTCTTTCCTTTCTACCCACTTTGTTGGTGGCTTTTGTTGACTTTTATATCTAGATTGCCTCTGATTAGCTTGGGACAAAAAAAAGCATTGTTGTTGTATATAACATTAATAGAGTTCTGTGCCTAGAAGATCCTTAGTTCTTGTCCTTTTGGGTTTTAATTTATTCCTATATTGTAGGATGGAGTTGATGTGCCACATAGAGGAACAAGTGAGCAGCCAGAGCCCTTTGGCACAGAGCAGCCTGATTAATTTGTAAGCGTCCCCACCACAGCCCTATGATATTTACTGCTAGCTTAGGTCTCTGAAAAGTCCCTTAACATTATTTTTTGGGTGCTGCTGTAGGATGAAATAGACTTATGGGGTGTCCAAGATAATCAGCAAGTGTTGCCCCTTGACAGCAAGCAATGCAACTCTAATGTAAGCCTTTTTATTGTCTTAATCACATTTTATCTGACATTTTATGTTTGATCCTTCCTTACATCAAGTCATTTGTATTGCTGGGCTTTGTTCAATAGATTGGTGAAACTTGTGATGCGGAAGATATGCATTTTCCTTTGTCCGTTTCTTATAGTAGGCAACCTAAATCTGTGGTATGTAATATCTTCTGTGCTAAGTTCTATACTTTATAGACATCCTTAAGGACTTATCACAATTTTATCGTGTTACAAAATTTTCCCATGTGCAGGGAGCTGGTCTTAGCAATATGGGGAACACGTGCTTCCTAAATGCAACTCTCCAGTGTATCACTCACACTGTACCTACCACTTTTTCTCAAGCTTCGCTCTACTGATCATTTCACTCCATGCTCATGTATGGATAATTTCATACAACTAATTATTGTTCGAAATATGTTTTTTTTATACATTCTGTTTTATCTTAGTCTGGATGATCTGAACTGCTGTTAACCTGCAGATAATAAGGATGGGTTCTGTTCTTTCTGTGCCCTTAAAGAACATGTTGATGAATCAATTCGAAGGTCTGGATCTGTTATAGCTCCAACAAAGTTCAGAGATAGTTTAAGAAGTATCCTTTCCTCCTGATCTTTTGCTGAGTCCGTTTAATTTTCCCCATTATAACTGCTGTTTGCAGATATGTTTTTTTCATGTTAATTCATGTCCTTCCACTTCCTTTCAGCATTTAGTTCACCTTACTCTTCACTTAAGTATTGCGGTACTGCATCCTTTCAATTGTTGCCAGCTTGCTATAGTCCTTCCATGAGAAGTTTTGTGATATGAGATTTCTTAACAATATTTTCTAGAGTTATCTTCGGATTTTAGACCAGGACACCAAGAAGATGCACATGAAGCCATGACCGCTCTCCCTGTGGACAATCTCGGGGAGAAAACAATGCATTTACCCACATAATCTGCCGAACGCTGTTAAAATGCCTCGATCACTTCCGTGCCCACTTCCGTGCCCAGTTATCCGCTGCTTAGTAATAAATACTGAGAAATATGACATGTATTTTGGGTGTGACCTGAAATCACGGGGGGCATCACGTTCTTCCAGCTGTTACTCGGCCGACGCAGATGGACAGAAAATCAGCACTGGACAGAAAGTCAGAGACAGGTGCTGGCTACTATGGACGACAAAGCCGTGAAGCCAAGGAGGATCGCGTACGCACGTGTGAGAGTAAAGGATTGGCCAGCAGGCCAAGCTGCCGGTGAAGACTCATTGCTCATCAATCAGTATGACAGTATACGTACGCGACGCGAGGATTGTGTCACATTCTGTAAGCCTGTAACTGCAACCCAGGACAAGAATCACCTTCCCCGCAAGGAAACGGCAGGTGGCCGCCTGGCCTGGAGACAGCTCGCGCACCGACGTGCAGGTGCGGCGCGGCCGACGGCCGTGCTTGTGCAGTTGTGCAGGACACAGCAGGAGGCGAGGCGTGCGCCGTTTGCGCACCGGGCGGACGGCCGCTGCACTGCACGTTCCAACGGAATCGCTGCACGGCGCTGCAGGAGAAAGCGGCCACCCGTCGCGTGGGATCGTCCGTGGCCACACTGGCCGCGATTCCTGCCCGTTTCCGCCGTGGTCATGGCCGGAAACGCCGAAACAGGCTGCGCCGTCGCGCGACCGCTCGCGCTGCATGTCGTGTTTTCGCTTCGGCCCATGGATACCCAAAATAAATAACTGGGCTGGTTGGTGGAGCCCGGGGCGAGTCGAACTCCTGCTTCTCACAAACCCAAGTGTTCTGTTGGGCCTTCGTTGGGGTGAGGTGTGATTGTGTGCACACGGTTTGCACGTTGACGTGTCGGCTAGCTCAGCTGTCGTGATCGGGCTTCCTTGGTCCTCACGAATCGTATCAGCAGCATCCTTTTTTGATGAAAATATATCCGCAGCATACCTGTGGCTACTGGCTGTGCTGGCTCGTGGCTAGGATTGGAGCATGGATGCCTCGTCAGCAGCCAGCGGCTTTCGGAGCGCCACCAAACCCCCTTGCCGGGCATGAGATCCAGGGCCATTGCACGGCTCAAGAGGTCCCAACAAAGAGGTGGGCGAACATATGCGTTACCAACCAACGCACTATCGTCAACATACAGATAATGCCACCTCTGAATAGCTATGAATGGTCACTGATCACACACATATATATGAAATAAATAAAGCAAGATCGAGAATGACGGGCCATTTGCATCCCGTGTCGCGTCCAAACAAACGCAAAATCTCCACAGACCACACGCCACGCACAAGATGCACTAAACTGAAGAATCATTTCGCAGGTAGTGTACGACAACACAGCAAACATTCATGAATGAATCACTGAATCGGCTGTATCGATTGAATCTGGTTAACGTGTGCAAGATACATACAATCAGTGAAACCTTCCATCTAAACAATGTAAAACACAGCAACGAAAAGAGGTCTGTCCCCAGCCCGTTTTGCCAGCAAGGTTCACGATGAGAGGTGATCAGGAGATATCCGATCCCTTCTACGAAATCAGCACAAAAGTGGAGACAGACTGGGGGCCCTCGCCATGTTCGTGGTCGGTTCTATTTGATCCAGAGTCTCGGAGCCACCACCAAACGCTGGACTTTTGTATGTACATACAGGAGAGGAGAGCTGGGGTGGCGTGTAAGTGATCAGTTGGTGCTAGCTGCCATGTCTGGTGCTCTGCTTGGCGTCTCGTTCTTGCCCAGCAACGTTGGCGTCACCGAAACAAGCCCGATCAGGAACAGCACCGCTATCGACTGTGTATCATACAGGTCATTCAACGATCTCAGGTCGCTCAAAGCAAAAGTTAGGACAACCAATTAGCGCGTACACGAAGAGTGCACCTGAGGGAACGACGAGTACAGTAGAAGCAGGAATACCCTGACAGTCACATAGGCAGCTGGGATGAGGCCAATGGCTGTCGCCAAGAAGAAAGTATGGTATGGCACACCCACAATAGGTGA